TGTGTCTCTTTCACAAGATGAATAACTAGATGTACCATTATGTTAAAAAAAGAGGGAGGAAAATACATCTCAATCTCACACAAGGTAATAACTATTTCTTTTTGCAGTGTTGGTAAGACCTCTGGATCGATCACCTTACTACAAATTAACCTAAATAAAAAACACAATTTAGTTATGGCGCTTCTTACTTTTTCTGGAAAAATAGAACGTATACATATTGGTAGAAAATGATCCATTATAACATGACAATCATGTGCCTTTAAACTCTTCAACTTGATGTCTTTCATAGACACAAGTCTTCTAATATCTGAAGAGTATCCTTCTGGAACTTTAACTTCACTTAGAAACTTGCACAATATTTTTTTCTCCTTTCTAGATAGAGTAAAAGCAGCAGGTGGTAGATATGTTCGTCTTCCTTTCTTCACGGGTCCTAATTCAGTTCTTATTCCCATCTTTAACATATCCTCCCTTGGTTTAAGGTCATCCTTAGACTTTCCTTTTATATTGAGTAACGTACCAATAACACTTTCAAATACATTTATTTCAATATGCATAACATCGAGAAAATGTCTCACATACAAAGACTTCCAATATGGCAATTAAAAAAAATCGACCTCTTCTTCCACCCACCTTTGACAACCTTATGTGCAAAAGGCTTGCCAAACTGAGTACACACATCTTTCACCTTTTCAAAAATTTGGTCACCTGACAATGCAGGTGGAGCTTTACGTTGTTCGATGTCTCCATTAAATGCTTTTCTCCACCCACAGTAGTGATGTTTAGAATGTAAGAATCTATGATGACCGAGAAACACATTCTTATGACAAATTTCCAATCGCGTCGTATCGGTTCCATCTTCACAAATAGGACACGCATATTGACCTTTAATGTTATACCCAGATAGATTCCCGTATGCTGGAAAATCATTAATTGTGCCAAACAACATCGCCCTCAAATTAAAACTTTCTTTCTTATATCCATCATAAACCTCCACACCGTTCTCCCACAAAATCTTTAAATCTTCGAAAAAAGGTGTCAAGTATACGTCTATGTCATTCTCTGGTTGTTTAGGCCCAGAAATTAACGTAGATAACATCATGTACTTACGCTTCATACATAGCCATGGAGGTAGGTTATAAATCATAAGAATCACTGGCCATATGGTATGTGAGATACTTTGAAGACCATGTGGGTTCATTCCATCAGTAGATAATGCCAAGCGAAGGTTTCTTGCTTCTTCTCCAAAATCAGGATAATCATCATCAATTTTTGACCACTGTAGTGAATCTTCCGGATGTCGATACTTTCCATCAATAATTCTTTCACATGCATGCCAAGTCAAGTGTCTTGCATCGGTTCCACTATGAAACATGCGCCTAAATCTCGAAATTATAGGAAAATATCATAAGACTTTTGCTGGAGACAATTTTTTCTTATATAGAGATAAATCGCATTCAGGGCACTCATTTAACTTTGCATATTCGTTCCGAAACAAAACACAATCGTTTGGACAAGCATGTATCTTATCATAGCTCATTCCAATAGAACACAACATTTTTTTGGCCTCATAGGTTCGATTAGGAAGAACATTATCCTCCGAAAGCATATCTATCACAAGGGCTAATAACTCTGAAACTTTTATCTGACCATCCATTGCCCGCCTTTAAGTTGTACAACTTTAATACCGCAGACAATATTGTGAATTTAGTGCAACCTTTATACAATGGTTTCTCTGCATCGCTTACCAATCTCTCAAACATTTTGGTACAATTCTGAAGATCTTCTTTAAGTGCATCTGCAATCTCTCCAACTCGATCAAAATCGTATGTATCTGTGTCCTTGTCGTCTGAAGCATAGGCCGTACTACTTTTCTCCCCTGGTTCAACATTGTCGTTACTTTTTTCACCGTGAAATATCCAAAACGTATAACTTCTATCAATTCCATGCATTAGTAAATGCGATTTCAATCCATCTGCGTCGACCCGACCCACATAAAAACAACCCAAGCAAGGACACTTTATTCGACTGGGGTCTTTGGCATGTTCAACAACAAACTAAATGAATTCCAATACTCCATTCTCGTACTCTTTTGATAATCGATCGGCAGACATCCATTTTTTGTCCATTTTTTCTACTAATTAAAGTAAACAAAAACACTATAAACAGATTATTCACTTTTTGTATGAATTAAACGAATTATTTCTAGAAATTTATTTCTAGAGTTATTAATATGGACTAAAAATAAATATAGGAAGGAGATAGTAAATAAATAAAAGAATCGGTAATATTGAATTTGAACTTGACTTACCAAAGAAAGAAAATGGGGTTATTGGTGTCGACGGCGGATGATGCGGCTTTGATGTTCTTCGAATCGGTGATGGTCTTCGACTAACTACACTAATACAAAGGGATCATTAAAAACAAACAAAAACAGTCTATTTAGGAGGCTAATGAATTTAGGTGTCAATGCACATGAACAAAATAGGAAAAATAGTATATACACTATAAGAAGATTAATACAAACTTTTAGAAATTTTGTATGATTTAAACGGATTATTTCTAGAAATTTAGTACCTATATATCTCATAACCAAACTCTACTAATTAACTATATATATATTATTCTACTATATATGAAGTGAAGTAACTAGTTCTTATGTTGTAGTTATGCTATTAAAATCATGAAAATTTGGATATTTACTATGATTGAATGTCTAATGAGATGAAATAATTTAGAGGACTAACACCCTATATGATTAAATAACTTATTTCTGCGTTTATCATATAATTGTTTATATTATAAGTCATTTATATGAAACAAAGAAAAAGAGGCAATAAGTTACTACCTTTGAATTGTGGATGTCAACAAAGCTTCTTAGCAATAGTACTTTGCCCAGAACCACACAAACCAGTCAAATAATGATCTACACCATACAAGAAATAGAATCCGACAAACCAGTCATAAAATTATGCCAACAAGAATCATGCTACAAACAACTTCTCTATTAGCTTGCTCTTAGCCATGTTAATACACTCTAACAAATAAAAACACTTCCTAAATTGATTTTACACAGAACAACATTGAGCATTTTAGTTTATCATGATTTTAGTAAAACTCATATTCAAGAAAGAACCTACCTTGAGAAAGGGTCGGTCGGGGTGGAGAACAACCGAGAGAGACGATGGAGGACGGAGGGAAAGGCCGGCGGAGCTTGACGACGGCGGAAGACGCTTGGACGACGGCGGAAGGAGCTTGGAGAGGGAAAGGGTTTTCGTTCGTGAGAGGGAAACCAGTCTGTGAAAAGAGAAACAAGTCTGATTCTAATTTTTAATTTTGATTTATATGCCTTTAGACAACACTTTTTAGAAAGCGCTGGTTAATGTGGTCTTTTAGCAGCGCTTTTGAAAAGCGCTGACTAATGTGGCCCTTTAGCAGCGCTTTTGAGATTATTTTTTATTTTATTTTATATGACTTTAGACAGCGCTTTTTAAAAGCGCTGTCTAAAGTGGTCCTTTATCAACGTTTTTGTTAAAGTGCTTTCTAAAGCAACACTTTAAACAACGCTTTTAAAAAATGCTGTCTAAGATCACATTTTTAGCAACGTTTTTATTTATTATTGTATATATAGTTTCTGTGTTTTTTTTTAAATTCACTTATAGCAGCACTTTTGTATAAAAGCGTTGTCTAATATGCACTGTTAAAAACTCTTTTTAGTGTAGTGTTAACTAAACCATCAAAATAGTTATATTTGAGTATTATAAAATTTATGTAGTGGGCTGGAATAGAAGAAAGCAGAGTGAAATAAAAGTTTATTTCATTCAAATTGAATGTTAAAAAAAATAAGAAAATAAAAGAAATAGAATAGAATAAAATGATTTCATCATATTCTATTAATTTTTAACTGATTTAAACAATACTATTCTATTTTATTCTGCACCATTTTATTATTCTTTTTAATATTTTTAAAGTAATTAAATAATTAATTGAAAATAAAAATAAAAATAATTTCAATATTTCAAAAGAGAAAATTTAAATATAATTTTTTAAGTATGATTCTTATTATTTTTAAAATACAAATATGACAAGTATACTTAAATATAATTTAAGGAGTAAAAATAAAAGAAAATAATAAAAATCACATTAAAAAATTGTATTCCCTCTGTATTATATTATAAGAGAAATTCACTTTTTAAAATTTATTGAATTATTAATGTATCTAGTTTATATATAGACTAGATACATTAATTATTTAATAAATTTAAAAAGTAAATTTTTTTTATAATATGAAATAGAGGAAGTATATATTTCAAAAAAGATAATTCATTCAGAATAGTTAAAGTGTTTTACATTTTCTTAAATAAAAAATAAAAAATCTCCCTTTAAAATTGAATTTGAATTTAGACAAAAAAACGGAATTTGAATTTTTATTTGTAATCTCTTAAAAAAGTAATATTGTTCGTTGGCTTAGACTACAGTAATAGATTTCTCAAATAAGCGAGGCAGTAATTTTTTCTCCATTTTATAACAATTAGCGTCAGGAATTAAACAGTAAAATTTTTGTGACGATTTGACATTGTCACCAAATAAACAGTAAATATTTTATGACATTAAAACCATCATAAAATGAACAGTTAAAATTTGTGGTGATTTAAAACAACTGTTGAATACTGAAAATGAAAAAAAATCAATATGGATCACGTGAGAAATTTAATAAGGTGGACACCTTCTTAATTGACCTAATTGAATTTTGTTGACAATTTGTTCATCATATACTCTAACTCTAGAAACTTCCCTTACGGAATCAAAACAAAATTTGGTTTACTTTTCCACATTAATTTTCCATTTCACCGTCCACTTAACGCCACGCACATATCTAATTGGTCTTTCTCAATATCTCACATGACAATAATTTCATCACCAATATAAATATCCCACCCACACATTCTCGAAACACAGAAATTTTCTTTCATTTTCTCTCTCTATACTTGAAAGAAATCAAAATGGGATTCCCCATAGGGTACCCTGCAGTTTCCGTCCCCAACCTCTTCCTTCTCCTTCTCTCTCTCCTCGCTTTTCTACGATCGCTAGCCATCTCCTTCCTCTCTCTCCTCCATCTCTCCGACCTCCTCGACACCAATTTCTCCTCCGCCACCTTAACGGAACCACTCTCCAACCCTCCCACCCTCTCCGCAATCCTCATCCGCCAATTCCTCCCCGTCGTCAGTTACCGTGACCTAGATTTGCCGGCGGTAGCGTGCGCGGTGTGTCTGGACGAATTTACCGAAGAGGAAGAGATCAGGTGTATGACGAATTGTAAACATATTTTTCACAAGACGTGTGTGGACCGTTGGATTGATCATGATCAGAAGACGTGTCCGCTTTGTAGGACCCACTTTGTACCTTGTGCTAAAATAGAAGATTATAATCAACGCTTATGGGCGGCTTGTCAATCTGAATGTGAAGACGATGATGATTCTCCTTTTTCGCAACATGATGACGATTACTACATTGCTTCAATTTGAATTTTTTGTTGTTGTTGCTTTTTGATTTTTTTTCTCCTTATATTTTAATAGGAGTTTTTTCTTTTGGGGTGGTGAATTTGTATATAATTAAACCAAGAATATTAATGTGTGGATAAAAATAGAGAAATTAAGGTTAGGATTTAATTTAGCTTTATTGTATTTTTGGGTATTATGGTTAGACCTTTTTATAAAAGAAAAGAAGGTTTTATTGGACTCTAAATGACGAGGAATAATGACTTGAATTGGACATGTAAGCTGAATTTTCTTCTCTTAAATAGGCAATATCCATACGCAAAGTTAACATACAGTATAAATTAAAAAATTTCTCGATTTAATGATACTTAATGAACTATTAACCTAGTAATTTTTGTAACATTTCTATAAAGAGTATGTTTTTTCTGTTTCAGTATGTTGGTTACTAGTCGTTAGAGTTTTGTTGGAGTTTATTGTTATTTTTTATCGTATTTGATTAGAATTGATCGTTATAGTTTATGTCAAATAGAATTTGAGAGTGAGGTGAGAATACCTACAAGACACTCTGATGTTAAAATGAGATTTAAAATGAGTTAGCAAGCAAGAGTGAGTAAGAAATCATTAATATCTGATCTTCTCAAGAGAGAGATTATTTATAGCTCTCAACGCTGGGTCAAGGTCTCCTCATTGGACTGGTCAAGTAGGCCCAAAGTGGAGACTGACAAGTCTTACGGGAGTACATAGTGAGGACCAGCACGTGGTCCTCCACCTGAATGACTTCCTCCGCACGGTCAGGAGGATATGGATGCGGTCTTTTCAGGGTCACGAAGACTCTGATATTCAGAGACGTTGATAGTCAGTCCTACGAGGAGGATGCTCGTGGGACGCTTTTGCTTGTCGTGGATGTTCCCCGTCAGACGCGAGGTCGTGTGGAAGGATCAGTCTTGGTCGAGGATAGGATTGGAGGGTGACCTCGAGGTCCTCCTGACCGGCGATGATCTTCCTAAGACTAACTGAGTTTATCCTTGTGTGGTGAGGCTGTCTCCTTGCGGAGAGTGGAAGCTGCTGCCCGACGCACTCGAGGGCAGAACTGGCCAGCATGTCTTGACCGACATGATTGGGTTGGACCTCACATGGAGTTAGGCCAAGGACAGGCACAGTCCAGAACAATTTTATAGGATAGTTAGTTATTTTACTCTTACTTGTATCACAAGTCATCTTTTGTATATATATGATTATTTTCTATTATGTAATCTAAGTTCAATAATACAAACATTTTTTGTTTCTATTATAGTATTAGTAGAGTGAAAAACTTCTGTTTTCTCTTTTCATCATCTTCCTCGTTACATTCTTCACTATAAAAAAACAAGTTTTGATTATTATATCACAATATAGAATATCACAAAAGATTTTTTACGACGTGATTGGACACTCTGCAGGAGAATGTGTGACAACTTATTTGCGACGTGAATTTCATGTCACAAGTTGTGACGTAAAAATCATGTCGCAACACTTTGCACGAATATCCACAGCGTTGCAATAAGAGCATGCCGAGCAGAGTATGAGTCAGAATAAACATAAATTTTACGACGTGATTTTCATGTCACAAATTTATGACGTGAAAATCATGTCACTAATAATAATCTCAAACCAATAATTTGTAACATAAAAATCACGTCACTAATACAATTTTTTTTATAAGAAAACTAAATTCTTAAACTATTAAATATATTAATATTAAATATATTTAAATTAAATTCTGAAACCATTAATAGTAAATAAATTAAATATTATATAATGAAATTTAATTAATAAATTAACACTATAAATAATAATAAAATTATAAATTTAATATTACAAAATATAATATACTTAAAAGTTTTTAATTAGTGTCTTACACAAATTAAAATTAAAAAAAAAAAAATTCTATGGGTCAAGGTTCAAATCATCTTCATTCTCCTCATCCATCGGGTTTTGACCACCATTTCCTTCATTTCCACCAAACGCTTGATTATCCTTACTTTAAAATTGCATAAATTATCGTCATTGCTCTTCTATATCAACTTGCCTCTTTGTCATTGCCTCCATTTATCATTGTTGCTCTGTCATTTAGGTCTTCATTGCCGCCTCATATTACTCTGCCTCAGTCTTCATTATCGTCTCACGTTATGCTGACTCGCATCTCGCCTCATCTAGCGCTAATTGTCTTATTGTTTTTTTCATTTTCAATGTCAATTATGGTGGACGTGACGATCCTTCCTCTTCTCTAAATCGTTGAAACAAGGTTCTATCACCTCTTCTATATATGTCCGCCAAATTTTTACCACTAAAAAAAATCCGTTAGACCCCTTTCCGCCATTGACTTTACTCCAAATATAAAAATCCACATCTGGATGAAGCGGCTCTGAACCTCTTGGAATATATTGAGGATTATGAACCAAAACTTTTGTGAGAAATATCTGATAATCCTCCTACACATACGATAAAAAAATTAAGTTAAATATAACTTAAATTTAATATGACTTAAATTAAATATAATTTAAATTAAATTAAAGAATGAATAAAATATAGTCATGTGATTTTCACGCCACAACATCTCAGTTGCCACGTGATTTTCACGTCACAACATCTCACTGGTCACGTGAAAATCACGCCACAAAGTTGTCATTAAATAAAAAAATATAAACAACGTAAATTAAATAATTTACCATAGTTTTTATGTACGTTCGTCAATAAAACCTCTCGATTTTTTTGTCTAAGTCTTTTTAATCAGCCCAGTCATTAGTAGTTATATCCCCCAAATCTTAGCTTAAATAATAAATTTAACTTTAATTAAAAAACATATATTATAAATAAAAATATAACTTTAAAAAGTGGTAATAATTACCATATGTCGAACATGCTCAACAATACTTATACCTCCAACTGCATTAAGGCTACCCCATTTTTCAGATACTCTCATTTTCTTTGCATTTTCAGATTTAGTCTTAAATTATGGTATATCCCAATAGACAATAAGTTCCTCAAAAACTTATTTGCATATCCAATTGGGACAGATATTCATACATTCCCAACGCTTTCTAGCACGTCGTAGCATGTCAGAAAGTCTTCTTGATGTTCTGCCATAATAATATTTTAAACCTCCCTCTCGTTCATTGGTTCCCACGTACATTTTTCCTGCAATGTTGTATGACATTAAAATAAATAGTTAGATAATTATAATAAAAAAGATTTAAATAACAATAACTTAAAAAATAAATTAATTATACCTTAAATAACCTGAACCAAGCTTCTTTATTTGGAACTTCTTTAAAACTCTTCCAAGATTTTTTATACATTTGCTGAATTACATAACTTACAATCTTGACAGAAGTCCGACTTGGCCCAAACCTAAACAACAATAATTTGAATTAACATTAAATATAAATTTATATTAAAAAAGGAAATGTATACTTAAATAAAAATTTATAAATAAGAAACTTACGAACTTCCGACGGACCAAATACAATATCTACCGTCAATGATATGAATCTCACTTGGATCATCTCCACTTGAAGATCGTCCCCATCCAACTCAAGATCGTCCTCATCCAACTCAATATCGTCATCATCCGACTCTACATGAGCATCTTCACGTGGAGGTATATGTGTGGTAGGTGAGGTGCAGGATCTCACAGTCTATATAGATGGTGAGGGCACTCGTGTGAGATGTTGGGTGCGAGATCCCTTAGTCCGGTGGAAGGATGAGGACACCTATGTGGAAGGTGGAAAGCTAGATCCCCCAGTATGCTGGAAGGATAAGAGTACCTGAAAACTAGATCCCGTAGTATGCTGATATAATGGATAACTAGGTCATCCAGTATGTTGGAATGGATAACTAGGTCCCCCAGATGGACTAATAAAAGATACACTCCCGGATGTAAACATAGCGTACTAAGGGAAAGTAATGGCATAAGAGGTTGAGTATTGGCCATGGACATAGAATCTACCTGACTCTGCAGGAGAGGACACATGGCCGACTTAGGTGACTGACATACTACTATCATTGGATTTTGGGTCTTCTTACACTACCACCACTCTTACTCTTATTAGATCAGGTGACATTTTATCTACTTATTGAGAATACATAATTAATTATATATATATATATATATATATATATATATATATATATATTATATATATATATATATATATATATATATATATATATATATATATATATATATATATATATATATATATATATATATATATATATATATATATATATATATATATTAACACATCCAATAGATGGTTCATTAAGTAAAATTACAAAAACACATTCTCATAAATATATATTCATTATTCTAAACTTTCATGCTCTTCATCCATATCATTCTCATCATTTGATGTGATATTATCCTCAGATCCAAACTCTTCATGCTCTTCGTACACATTATCATCAACCAACAATATAGATGCATCAACTTGATTCTCATCAACCATTATATCAGACAAAGTTGTAATTTATTCATTTGCAATCACATCATTAATTTGTTCAACTTCATCAACTTGGTAAGCAAGATCTTCCACTAGATCGCTAGTTTGAATATACCTCAGTGATTTTGTTTTATTACAATACAACACCATCTTTTACGTGGAAAAAACAAAGGGTAAGGAACATAATAAACTTATCTAACAATATGTGACATTATGAAAGGGTCATACTCTTTATACCTTCGGTCCATTTGAATCTCAACAATACCATATGTCTTATCTATTTTTGTGCCTCTAGTTGGATCATACCATTCACAATAAAACAAGACAACTTTATTTTCTGAGTCTAAATAATTATATACCAACTCGTAGATATGTTTAAAAAATCTATAAAAGTCATATTCACCACCATATGTAACTCCTTTTTCAAATACACCACTGCTATGGTTTTTTTCCCTTCAGTCCATGTCTGAGTGTGGAATTTATTTTTGTTCACGAACTATGTGTGTCATTCATTTATGCTTTAAATAGGGCCTTCAGACATGT